AACAGATGATACTAAGCAAAAGATGAAAAGGAAAGAAAGAAAATGCTTCTTGATTCCCTAGACTTCTTGGTGTGAAAAACACAACACGACTTTCCAGTTTGGGTGGGAACACATGTTCCTCAGGCTCTGGCGTTTGATGGTCCCAAGAACTGAGTCAGGTTGGAACATTAATTTATGTGAATACATTTATATACATTTAGCTCTCGGGGGGATCATGTGCACTGAGACCTAAGTAAACTCATGAAGCGGAGTCCTGTGATGCATCGAGTATGGGGAGGTTCCCAGCTGTTTGATCCTCTCTGGACACCAGAGTCTTGGGAAGGCAGTCGGTAGATTCTGCACAGTTCACCATCTACGTACTGGTTTTATTTATTTATTTACTTACTTATTTATTTATTTATTTATTTACTTATTTTTATCCTCACCTGAGGATTTTTGCATTTATCTTCAGATAGAGCAGGAGGGAGAGAGGGAGGAAGAGAGAGAAACATCGATGTGAGAGAGACACATTGATTGGCTGCCACCACACAACCCCAACCAGGGCCGGGGACAAACCGCAGCCGAGGTACGTGCCCCTAGCGGAAACCGAACCCGGGTCTCTCCGGTCCGGAGGCTGACGCTCTAACTGCTGAGCCAAACTGGCCAGGGCTGTACTGGTTGTTTTAAAAGTTGTACTCTGGTCAGTCATCAAGGCCAGTGGACCACTCTTGGGTTCACACAGGGTGAGGGTTCAGGACAGACCCTCCCAACTTTGATTCAACATGTTTGTCCCTTACTTGACCTTCTCAGAAAGACTTCTAGAAAAAACAGGCTATCTGGGGTGAAAATAGTTTGAGAAACATGACTTAGGACACAGAATACTTCCCTGCAGGTCCTTTTAACTCTCTATGACAAAAGCATAGAATTGACTGAACCAACATACTACAGTGGTAATACTAATGACAAAAATGTATGCATTGTGGTGAACTTCAATAGGGTATGCTACTCAAATGATCTAAATTAGCTCACCTAACTATCACAGCAAAGTCTGTAAGTGTCCGAGAGGTTCATTACTCGCTTTGGTTAACGTGCTGGTAAGTAGTGGAGCTGGAATCTGAAGCCAGGACTGTCTACCACCTGTCCCACAGTCTGGTTCCCACCAGGCCATCTCTTCTCCCTTCTGGCTTGTTATCACTCTCTTAGTCTAGCTTCCGGCCATTGTTCAAGGTGTTATCTTCAAACTGGTGTCTTTAGGGATTGATTTCTATGGAAGACTTTGCTTTTCTCTGGTCTGCAGGGCGCTGACTGTGGCTCAGTGATCACTCAGTTCTCCATCTCTCCAGCGGAGGATTTCTGTCTCTGTTCTCTCTGGTGTTATTCTCTTTGCTGGGTCAGCTGCGGGGTAGAAGTGCTGAAGGATCTTCAGGTAGAAAGACTCATTTCCTACCTGAAGTTAAATGTGAAATAGTGCGGCCGGCGTGGCTCAGTGGTTGAGCGTCAACCCATGCACCAAGAGGTAGCCAGTTCGATTCCTGGTCAGGACATATGCCCAGGTTGTGGGCCCGCTCCCCAGTGCGGGGCATGCAGGAGGCGGCCAATCAGTGTTCTCTCTCATCGATGTTTCTATCTCTCTCTCCCTCTCACTTCCCCTCCCTCTAAAATCAGTGAAGGAGCCCTGGCCAGTTTGGCTCAGCGGTTAGAGCGTCGGCCTGCGGTCCGGAGAGACCCGGGTTCGGTTCCCGCTAAGGGCACGTACTTCGGTTGCAGTTTGTCCCCGGCCCTGGTTGGTCGTGCGGGTGGCAGCCACTCGATGTGTCCCTTTCACGTCGATGTTTCTCTCTCTCTCTGTTCCTCTCTCTCCCTCCCACTCTATCTGTACAAAAAATGGAAAAATATCCTCGGGTGAGGATAAAATAAATAAATAAATAAATAAAATCAGTAAAGGAAAAAAAAATTTTTAAATGTGAAACCACATTTTTTGCTGCACAGAAATGTGCTGTACTTGTATCATACAATGTCATTCATCCGTGTCTTGGGGATGTTGTTTGATGGCTGTTGTTGTGTAGGTTACTTTGTATGTTGTATCAAGACAAGCACACCTTTCTATTGCATTAAGACCAGATCTATATTAGTTGGTTAGTACTAAGGTTGAGAAATATGAAATGAAGGTTCTCAGAGCCTTATATTCTGTAATGAAATTTGAAATTTCCTTGGGAAATATAATTTCTTGGATGTGGAACTGAACAGCTTGCCATCAAATATCTAATTTTAAGCACCCACAGAGGTTTGGAATGAATTGAAACATAGCCCAGGGATCCTGAGAGCCACAGAGCACAGGATTAGAGAGTTCAGGGGTCAAACTATCCAGCATTCCTGATTATAGCACTTAAATCTACCCCCTAACATTTTAATTAGTGGTTGGCCAACTTCTGACAGCGACTGGGAGTCTTCTACCTGACGTGGAAAGATGCTTAGAATGTGAGATAAAAGCAAAAAAGATAAAATGGCAAATACAATATTGTCTCAACTATATTTAAACAGTGAATAAAATTAATTATTTGAAAATATAAATAGTTGTTATCTCTGGGCAGAAAGATCACAGTGATTTTTTTTTTTTTTGCATATATATATATATATGATTGTCCTTAATGAGTCTTTTACAATGGGCATATATTGCTTTATAATTATAGGGACCAAGGAAAAATTCTTTCTCACATTGAAGTTGAATTCTTTTTCTGATTTATACTTGTTGGTCCTCAACTTGAGTCTGAGGATAACTCAGAACAAATCCTATTATCCTTTCAAAATATTTGGAGACAGCTTTAACGTCTTCTTGCCTTTAAGCATGGTTGTTCATACATAGGCAAGCAGAAGTTTTTTATTTTTGTTTTTTAAACTGAAGCTGTAAATCTGAAACTGTCAAGATTATTCATTTTTTTGTGAGAATAGTACTGAGTATTATGTAAATATCTATCACTTTTTCCCTCTTCTTTCCCAAAACAAACCATCAACAACAACATTTATCACCTCAATCTCGGTGTTTTTATTGAATTTAACATTTTATTAAAACTGGACTTACTAGGATCAATTTGAGTTTCTCAGCAGGTACTGAGGTCTTTGTTAAACTTATGTTCTTGGTTTAAGGGAAGGTCAGGACAGAGAGCAAGTCCTTGGAAGGGTGCAGCGTTGGGCAAGTCAGGGTCGAGAGTTGTGGGTGCTCAGTGGAGGAGCAGGTAATAGGGGAGGTAGGACTCAGACTGTCCAGTCTGATTGTACATCGCTCTTGAGCCTCTGTAGAATCACCATCTTAAAAGAATTGTGACCTTTCGCCCTGGCCGGTTTGGCTCAGCGGTTAGAGCGTTGGCCTGCGGTCCGGAGAGACCCGGGTTCGGTTCCCGCTAAGGGCACGTACTTCGGTTGCAGTTTGTCCCCGGCCCTGGTTGGTCGTGCGGTGGCAGCCACTCGATGTGTCCCTTTCACATCGATGTTTCTCTCTCTCTGTCTCTTCCTCTCTCTCCCTCCCACTCTATCTGTGCAAAAAATGGAAAAATGTCCTCGGGTGAGGATAAAAAAAAAAGAATTGTGACCTTTCAAATGCTCAAATGAAAACACTGTCCCCTAACTGCACAGCCCAGAGGAAGCCCCACTGACGACGGTTAGTGAAGGAGTAACCAATACTCAACAGAAAATTGAAAAAAACTTGAAACAATATAGGGTGGGGCAAAAGCAGGTTTCCAGTTGTGAGTACATGAAACAGATTTTCTTGACCTGTTATTTATTAATTATTGTATTATTTTCCCCGTGAACAACTGTAAACCTTCTTTTGCGCACCCTGTAGCTTTGTGTGCTTGAATGACTGATACATTCCCAAGGTTACTTGTCAAGATGACTCACTGATTAGGCTTTAGTCCACTATACGTGGTGGAAGAAACATGCCACTTCTACAGGTTTCACAAGTACTTTCTGTCTGAACTCTTTCCAGCTAAGCTTTGAAACTCCTAAGTTAATGGCAGTTTCAGGGATAAGTAAATGTTATCCATAAACATTTATCAAGTAACCTGTTTGAGGAATTATATAAAAATGAAAAAGGCCAATCAAAAATATTATTAACCCTGGCCTGTTTGGCTGAGTGGTTAGAGCATCGGCCCGCGGACCAGTGAGTCACGGGTTTGATTCCAGTCAAGGGTAAAAGGTCTGAGCGGGCGGGGGTCACACCCACAGCGCAAGGCCAGTGTAGAGCCAAATGGCTTTAATTGCATGCGCCAGGGTGCAGGCAGACTGAGTCACAAATTTCGAGCTCAGCATCGAAATCTCTTTGTTCTCTGGCTTTTATAGGCCCAAACTACAGAAACAAAAAAAACTACATTAAAAAAAAATCTCCACATTCTCTTGGCACCGTGTAATTGTGCCAGGGCTGATACAAGCTGTCTCAGAGGTAAGGAGTCTGCTCCAGCAGAGGTCGGGGCCATCATTAATGTCCTTTTTTATGGTCCCTCCAAGTTTTCCTAGGCCACCGTTAACCCCTTGTCTCCATGGTTCCTCTGGGTGTCAGTCCCAGGGGTTTTTAGAAAACTGCTCAGGTGTTTACGTGCAGGAATAACTAGTCAGAATGGAGTTTAATTTTGTTAAAACATTATTAACCCTTTCAAAGGGCACACACCTCGGTTGTGGTTCGTCGCCGGCCCTGGTTGGGTCGTTGAGGAGGCAACCAGTCAATGTAGCTCTATCACATCGATGTTTCTCTCTGTCTCTCTCTCTCCCTCCCTCTCACTCCTTCTGATGATAAAATGGAAAAATATCCTCAGATGAGGAATAAAAAAAAATTACATTAGATAATGAATGCAGATTTATTTCAAGCAGAGGCAAACGCATCTGTCACTTACCTGTATCTTATTTCATTTTTTGTGAAGACTCTGGAAGTTGTTTTTATAAATAACCTGGTGCTGGCACTGAGCTCCAGATTGTAACGCTTTGCTGCACCTAAAACAAGGCTTGTTCTTGTTGTGTTTCTTTGTTTCCAGATGGTTTCCCAGCTTGAAGCCCGAATATCTGAGCTTGCTGCGCAGTTGGAAAATGAGTCTGGGCTTCACCAGAAAGCGCTGCTGAGCGCCCAGAAGGCAGAACACAAGTTGGAGACTCTTCAGGGTCAGCTGACGCACCTCCAAGGGGAGCTGGTGTCTGGGGATGTTTTCCGAGACAACTTGAATTCTGAGAAACAAAAAGTAATAACCCGAGGGCATGCCCATGGGTGGATACCTCTGTTGCACTGTAATATTTTACCCGAAAATATTCTGAATTTTGCAGCACTTCAATAGGGTGGTTAAGTTCTGGATCATGAGTAAACGTCAAGGAACAGTGGGTATTGTTTTGAGGTCTCTTCCTATTGTTTGGAACTTCCTTGATTCAAGTGAAATCTAACAATCCAATTGTGTCTAAACTTAACAGGTATTTACTGAATGCCTATTATATAGGAGACCCTGAAGGCTTGGAAGGTAAGGTAGGAGTAACTCACAATTCTTGATCTTAAATGGCTCATAATTCAATAGAGGACACAGCCATTCAAACAACTTGCGGTACTGAAGGCTACAGGTGTTACAGTAGATGTACTGATGACGACGGTGCAGCAGGAGCCCAGTGAGGGGGTGACGTACAGAGTGTTCTTCTTCTGTACAGAGGAGTGATCTTGCAGGACGGTGCCAGTTGAGTTCATCTTCGAAGGACAAGTAGCCTTTTAGCAGAGAGAAGGGGCAGACACTGGGGAGAGTGAGCGAAGGCTCGCAGGACCCCGTGTATTCCGGGCACGCAGGGTGGCTGTTCTGCATGGCTGGGACGTGGCATTCACGGCGAGGCGGTGGCAGGAGAGAAGATTGGAATGGCTTGGATTATGAAGACTGAGTATTCTTTTAAAAAAATTCTCACCTGAGGATATATATATTTTTCCATTTATTTTCAGACAGTGTGGCAGGGAGATAGAGAGAGAGAGAAACATTGATGTGAAAGAGACACATCGGCTGGTTGCCTGCTGCATGACCCAGCTAAGGCCGGGGACCAACCGCAGCCGAGGTACGTGCCCTTGACCGGAATCGAACCCACGGCTCTTTGGACTGTGGGCCGATGCTCCAACCGCTGAGCCGAACCGGCCAGGGCTAGAGATCGAGCATTCTTATTGTGGAGAACGTGAAGTGTTGTAAGTGATTTTGAACATCACCATGTTTTAGAAAGATAACGTGGTGTCACCATGGAGCTGAGACTATGCCCTGGGGCGGGAAGGGGTCAGGCCTGTGGCTGGACCAGGGAAGGGCGTCTGTGACCTCCGAGAGGCAGTTTCAGTAGAGCAGTGGCGCTGGGCTGCAGGGCCACTCACAGGGACGGAACAGGGACTTAGAAGAAGGGAAAAGACAAAAGAGTAGGAGCTGTGAAAACAGGATCAAAGACCGTTGTTACTGGACATCATGGGACGAAGCGCATTTGTGTGTCCCAGGAGTCCCCGGGGGAAGGGAACAGAGACAGATGGGGTCAGCAGCGGCGCAGGTGCAGAATTTGGCCTGGAAAATACGATTAGGCTGGAAAATCTATACTCTGAAAAGTCATTCACTTTCACTCTTCTCTTCCAAGAAACATCGAGGCAGCATCACGCCTGCGTCGGGGTTGCATGTGCGGAGATGCGTAGCGGGTGTCTGTGGGGAGGCCTCGTCCAGCGGCCCAGACGGGCAAACCAGGGCATGGTCAGGACGTCGGTGCTCCAGTGGAGACAGGCACATGTCCCACAGGAGCAGGGACTTCTTCCCTGTTTCCGCATCTGAAGAAATAAGCCATTTCCCACAAGAGGTGACATTCGTGAGGGGCTTTAAGGAATGAACAGGAATGTGTCAGGCAGAAGCTGTGGGGACGGGATCTGGGGCGGAGGGAACAGCAGGGGGATGAAGGAACAGAGGCGTGGCAGGTCTGCTCAGGAGACCAGGGGGCAGAGGAGCCTGGGCAGCGGAGCTCGTGAGGCCAAAGGTGGAGGAGGCTCTGGAGACAGGGTGGAATAATTGAGGCGGGTGGTGCTGATTGCTCCAGGCTCTATCCTGTAGGGAATGAGAAGGCATAGAGGGTTTGGAGGAAAAGGAAGGTTGCTCTGAGGGTCTAGACTAAAGGTGGGAGCCCAGGGGGGATTCTTAGAACAGTTCAGATCAGAGATAATACAAGTCTGGACCAAGTTGTGGTTTTATGGACGAAGGAAGAAATTTGAGAAATGTGGGAGGGTGAAGGGAACTTTTCTATCAGATAGCTGAGAAAGGTGTGTTGGTTGGAATTTTGAGTTTGGAAGGAAATATTGCATCTGGGTGCCCATTAGGGGAGGAAGAGTCCTGGGCATTGGGAGGTCTGACTGTCTGCCTGGACCTCCATTGAGATGGTCCACAAACTGCTTGAACGCAACATATTCAAAGTGGAAAGGATGATGTCGCCTCAAATTTGCCTTTCTGCTGCCTCAGCGATGACGAGGTCATCTGCCTCTAGTGGCCCAAGCCAAAAGCTAGAGAGTCCTTCTCAGTTTTCCCTCTTTTGAATCAATCTCTAAGCACGGTAAACGCCATCTCTTTAACACATGTCAGCTATGCCTCCGCCTCTGTTTAGGAGCAGAGCTTTGACTCGAGCGTAGGATGATCTGCACGGACCAGGAAACACCTCTACGTGACCTTGGGGAGAGATTCCGGAGGAGGCTCCAGGGAGGTCTCAGTAATGTGCGCGCCTAATCTCAGCTCTCTCCACCTTACAACGGGCTGGGGCTCTGTGTGGCCCTCGGGGTCCCCTGCGGCTTCCTTCTCTCCGTGGCTGAGCATTCTGTGACCCCGCCCTCCCCTCCCCACCCCTCACCTGTGGTCTCTCCAACCCACGGTGGCAAACTCAGAGGATCCCGGGTCCAGCAGGGCCCTGGCAGGTATGTGCTGAGCCATCACGGAGCCCAAAGACACCCACATTCAGATTTGTAAGGGACATTTGTCTGGCCAAAGACAAGAAGAGCCTCCTTGGCCTCCCATGTGACCCTCCGCTAGTCTTCGGGAGAAGGTGCTCTCCCTGCTTTCCTCGCCTGTGACGACTGTCTCTTCTAGACCAGCTCTGTGGTCGCTTCCTCTGGAATCTCCCCAACAGCAGAAGAGACTGAGCCTGTCATAGCACGTGTTTCCATAGAGTGGCATTGTATTCATTTTTAATTTTTTATTATTTATTTATTTTAAATTCTCACCCAAGGATATTTTTCCATTTATCTTCAGATAAAATGGGAGGGAGGGTGGGGGGGGGGAGAGAGAGAAACATTGATGTGAGAGAGACACATAAATTGGTTGCCTACCTCATGACTCTGACCAGGGCCTGGGACCAAACCACAACTGAGGTACGTGCCCTTGACCAGAATTGAACCAGAGACTCTTTGGTCCGTGGGCTGATGCTCCAACTGCTGAGACAAATTGGCCAGGGCTGTATTCATTTTTTAATTCCTCTCCTCCAATCAACTCCAAGCTTCTTGAGGCCAGGGGAAATTGTTGTTTCTGGGTTTCTCCAGGGCTTGGGGAAGAGGCAATAAATATTTATATTATAGAAGAAATATACCAAAGCCAAGACTTTTAGATATATTGGTGTCTCTTTTCTTGCTTTATTATAATGACTCACTGATTTTAATTGAGATTATTCCAAAATAACTCAGTTATGAAAGCAGGTTATGTAAAATGATTCTGTCCATGCTGAATTTTTGTTAGATGAATAAATGCAAACAATAGCAGTTATTTCACTTTCATGCACACAGGCTAGGAATGAACGACCCCCCGGGGAGAGCTGAGGGGGCATTAAGGAGGGACAAGGATATGATGCAGAGACAGTGGCCACCTATGGCCTTGCAGCACAGTGCAATAGGCGACATTGTGCAAAGGGACTAAATTTTATGTATGCTTTTCTGCAAAATTGGAAAACATACACTTACAAATAATTTCATTTTGATGACTAAAATAGAGATAGCTCTGGCATGCTTCATTCATCAGGAAGTTATACTTATTTAAGCATGAAATTGCCTGAGTTATTGCCATGAGAAGAAAATCTCAAAGGTAGACCCCAAATCATGGACTGTTGATATAGAAAGCTCAGTAACTGATTTAGTCATCCAGCATTGATTTAGATGTTACTCTACGTCAAGTGGAGGAAGGTCCCAGAACAGTTTTGTCACTTTAACCCGTGAAAACATGAACCTTGACTTTCTTTTAAAATAAATGTATTGTTGACAATAAATCTTGACTTTCTTGATACTTCTCTATTTTAGAGGGTTGCTCCTCCCCCCCCCTTTTTTTCCCCCCCCCCCCCGGGTTTATTGAATTTTAGAGAGGGAGGAAGGGAGAGGGAGAGAGAGATAGAAACATTGATGAGAGAGAACATCGATTGGCTGCCTCCTGCTCACCCCTCACTGGGGATTTGGCCCACAACCTGGGCATGTGCCCTGACCGGGAATCGAAGCGGTGACCTCCCGGTTGATGCTCAACCACTGAGCCACACTGGTTGGGCGGGTTGCTCTTTAACTATATGATACACTAAAAACTCTTGAAAACATTTTCTAGAGCATTTTAATAAAAAACAACAACAACAAAACACCAACCAAAAACATTGTCTAAATTTGTTTGTATAGAGAACTTGGTGGCAACTGGTTAAGTCCTCATCTTCCAGAGTGTGTAATTAGACTGAACTTCAGGGTCACTGACCCGGAGAGTCAAGCAATGCTGGACAAGGAGCAGAACCTGGCCGTGGCAGGATGGTTCAGGAGTTCATTACCAATCGCTGGAGTTGGGGGCGGGGGGCTCATCCTGGCCTTAATGAGAAGTACCTGCAAACCTGGGAGAAAGGCGAGAATTCTAGGAGATCACCTGTTAACTTTATTTTTGTGTCTCCTTTTCGTTTTTTGTCCTTGGGTTTAGTATCTTAAATTTCTGGATCAGCTCTCGGAGAAAATGAAATTGGACCAGATGGCTGCTGAACTTGGCTTCGACATGCGCCTGGACATAGTTTTAGCTCGCGCGGAGCAGCTGGTGCGCCTTGAGAGCAACGCCGTCGTTGAAAACAAGACCATCGCCCACAGTTTACAGAGGAAGGTAGGGAGGTGGAAACTCCCCAGTGCTAAGGGAATGAATATCTGTGAAACTTCGGGATTGAAATATAACCCTAACTGCAAGGGAAGCTTGCAACTGTCGTCTTTGCTCTGCCTAGCGTGTTCCTAGCTGAAACATTTACTGTTTCTATTACCACAGACGAGGAGAACTGGAACAGTTAGCAGTCTCTGCTCTACTGGACGAGAAAGTAGAGAGAGAAGAGCTTCCTCAGGCAAAGGAAGAGTTAGAAACAGTTTAGACTAAGTAAACGACTGGATGAAAAGGATATAAATATAATTATTAGTTATGTAATTACTGGCATTGGGGAAAGAAAAGGGAAAACACAGATGTATCCTTGTAATAGTTCTTAGGAGAAAATTCTGTGGTGGAGGCTCCACAGGAGTCACATCTGGGTTCCCAGCTGGGCTCCACCAAGCTCGGTGACCTTGGCAAAGTGCACACCTCTCTGTCTCTGCCTCCTCACCCTTGGGTATTTTTTCTATTGATGTTTTATTAGAGAGAGTGGAAGGGATGGGGGAGGAGGGAAGAGAGATGTAAGAGACACATCAATTGGTTGCCTCCTGCATGTGCCTGGATTGAAGCCGAGGATCGAACCTGCAACCTAGGTACGTGCCCTTGACTGGGAATCCAACCCCCGACCCTTCAGTGCACTGGCTGAGCAACACGGGCAAGGACTATACTATCAATAAATAACATTTTGAACTCTTGGCTCATAGAAGGTACTCTATTTACATTTGACTTCCTCTCCATTGACTGTATCTTTGGGGATATTTTATAAAAGAAAGCAGATAACCCCTGTTACCACCAGTGACATTAAATGGAGCTACAGTTCTTTCTGAAGTTCTCCTCAGATAATAGAATTTTTTGTCAATATTTAATACATTTCTTCTTAAGTATTGTGTAATTATTAAAATTACCAGTGTATAGCCCGGCTGGTGTGGCTCAGTGGTTGAGCGTCAACCCATGAACCAAGAGGTCGCCACTTCAATTCCCGGTCCGGGCACATGCCCAGGTTGTGGGCCCGATCCCCCGTGGGGGCATGCAGGAGGCGGCCGATCGATCTCTCGCATCGATGTTTCTATATCTCTCTCCCTCTCCCTTCCTCTTTCTCTAAAATCAATAAAAAAAAAATTAAAAAAAGAAAAAGACCAGTGTCTAGAGCTTGCCAGTGTCCGTGCAGTGGAGTGGTCTTCGACGTGAAGGAGCTCAAGGAAGGCGGTTAGCTAGGGAAGCACTGAAGGGCTGTGTTACAGACGGACCTGGGCCTTGCTGTCGCTGGTAGGCAGCCACTCAAGCCCACGGTCCGGAAGCCCACAGGCTCTGCACACTTACCAAACGCAGCGTCCACACTTAGCGAGAGGGCGAGGGTCCTCGGCTGTAACATCCGCGACTCTACAGGATCCTCATCCCTCAGCTCTGTGAGGTGAAAGCGCCTCCTTCCTGAGTGTTCCGCTCACTGAGGGTGACAGGTGAAGCCCATGAGGACTTGTTTCTCCCCTTAGAGTCCACAGCCTTCTTCTAAAAATCACTGTCATTTCCTTCATCGAGTTTAATTGTAAATGGTAAATGCTGTTTCAGGACCTTGCATGTAATGAAGACACCAAGGAACTAAACCTTTCTTCAAGTCCCTTCTATTTCTATGATTTTAATGTATTCACAGAGCTTTCAACAATTGTCCTTGGACTTGCAACGCATCCAGCTAGGTGTGTGGTTCTGATTTGCACCTGTCTTCTTCCAGAAAAGACCAGGGCAAGGACAGTTGCCACGGGGTGTTGGGGAGGGTTTTGTCTCTCTGCTTGACTACATTCTGCTCTCGATAAGCCCATTTTAGTTGTTTTAAGAGCGAGTTTACGTCTTTATCAGATGCACATCATGTTGGAGGAAACATGTTGAGAGCTGCTTCTCTGGCATTTTCTCCGGCCCTGTCATCACACACTTTGCAGCTACAGATTTAACTCTTGGAAAGATAGGAGTAAACATGCAACCAGGAGAAGGAATCCAGTGCCCACCCCCCCCACCTTGTTTTTCTTGATGATTTAGACATTAGGCTTATTGAACTGTGGCTAAAGATCAATAGTATCTGAATAATTCATTTATATTTACTGACTGTTCAATTCCAAATTTCCTGTTTGTATAAAACCAGCTCAAGACCCAGAAAGAAAGACTGGAGAGCAAAGATCTGCACTTGAACCTCCTCCGGCAGAAAGTAGCCCGGCTGGAGGAGGAGAGGCGGGCGCGGACGGCCCTGGCCGTGCAGTGGGACGAGGCCGCCCTCACCGTGCGGAAGCTGCAGAAGCAGGTGGAGAGGCTGCAGAAGGAGCTGAGCGTGTGTCGAGAATCGAACACTGAGCTCAAAGCCAGACTGGCTGACACCAATGAGCTTAAGGCAAGTGCTCAGCTTCGTTTCCTTGTTGCTTTTTGCTAGTTACCATAAAAGCTTCTGCAAAAGAGTGACAGCCTTATCCTGGACACACCAGGAAAAAAAAAAAGATGAAAACTTTCTCTGATTTTCTAGAGTTGTGGGAAAAATGCAAAATTTACACAAATCAGCTTATTAGATGAAGTTAGGGGCTCTTTAATATTTGAAATGAAGCTGTAGTTGCTGTGGGAAAAGTCACCCCAAAAGGGTGATGTTAAATAAATAAATAAATATACTTTTTTATTTCTTTCCAGAAAATAAAAAACCTTCTTTTTTTCAAATTCTCACCAGAGGATATTTTTCCATTTATCATCAGATAAAGTAGAAGGGAGAGAGAGAGACAGAGAGAGAGAGAGAGAGAGGGAGAGGGAGGTGGGAGAGAGAGAAACATCGATGTGAGAGGGACACATCACATGACCCTGACAAAGGCAGGGAACTAACCACAACCGAGGTACATGCCCTTGACTAGAATCAAACCTTTGACTCAATGGTCCGCGGGCCAACACTCCAACTGCTGAGCCAAACTGGCCAGGGCTAAAAAATCCTTCTTTAAAGTGCAGGTGACTATGATATTAGGGATCACGTAGGGTTTCACCAGGTAGGAATTTGCTTCGGAAGAAACGAGACATGAACACACTGTTCACGGAGAAGGGCTGGGCAGGTGGCTGGTGTGCAATGTTCTCTGCGAGCTGAATTTTATCAAGTAGTGAGGAGAGGAGACAGATTGGAGCGACATGCTTCCTGGCTTTGAGCTGTCCAAATTCCAATGAACACAGAGAAGAAAGGAATTAAAACTTAAAATAATTTGGTCAAAATATTTAGATGGCATTAATATGTAACTTCATATGCACAGATGATGTTTTAAATGTTATTATTTGCATGTCATCAATACAGATGACAATAATGTCCTGGCTCTTTGCAGACAAGGGCTATGAAATGGCCTTTGGGAATGTTTCCAGGTCTGGAAACAAACCAGCAGAAATTAGGCCAACCCCCGAATATGTGAGTGGGGCAGCATTGTAGAAGCTATTTTCCACTGTATAAATGAGCTCTTTTCCTCCTCAAGCACTCTAAGTTGAGGCTTATTTCCCTGGAGGACAGAGGTGGCCCAGGAGAGGGGACACATTTGGATACAAGGGGAGGGGGAGCCAGGGAAGGCATCTGGAGGTGTGCCATGGTGCGGAGAACAAGGTAAGTATCCTCAACACGCCCCTCCTCCCTTGAGACTCGCCTTTGGGGTGTTGGTGTGCCGAATGGGGGTGGGACCTTGAACTCTGCCTGCTGCTCCCACCCTGGCTGGAATGACCTAAAGGAGGTGCTGGGGGGGGGGGGGCTTGGTTGTACCTTGATTCCCGGAGGCCCGGAGCTCCATTGCGCCGGAGGTGGTTACGGAAGATGGGGCAGGAGCATCCTGGAGGGCTCATTGTGGGAGCAGGTGGGGCGGGACGAAGTGACCCTGCAGCAGAGGGGCTGGTGCAGACCCCCTAAGCTCTGATCTGACCCAGCAGCAGTTACAGCCAACGCTCGAATGAGCCAGGATCACGTCCAGGTCTTGACGTTGGTTAGTGAGCCCTCACAAATTTCACCAGTCGGATAGCAGATCCAGGACAGATCCAGGGTCAGCCTGAGGACCGGAGTCACCTCTCCAAACACCACAAGGCTTTTCCTTCACCCTGACGCCATCTCAGGAAGGAGGAAGGGAGAGAGGAATCCTTGAAAGGCTGAGCAGTATGTGAACAACAACACGTTTTATTTATTTATTTAGTTTTTGTTATATCTCACTATTTATTTATTTTTAATTAATTTATTTTTGTTACAGATGTTTCTCCTCTTTACCCCACTGATACCCCCCTCCCCCTCCCTCCCCGCCCTGTCCCCAGCTTTGTTGTCCATGTCCACTGTGCATGCATACATGCGTATAAGTTCTGTGGTTTATCTCCCCCCACCCCCTCTTCTGGGGATTGTCACTTCCACGTCTCTGGAACTACCCCATTCCTCCATTGTGTATATGTACCACAGTTTTTTTATCCATATTTCTACTGATGGACATTTGGGCTGTTTCCAGATCTTAGCTATTGTAAATAGTGCTGCTATGAACATGGGGGTACATATATTCTTTCTGATTGGTGTTTCACGCTTCTTAGGTTATATTCCTAGAAGTGGGATCACTGGGTCAAATGGCAGTACAATTTTTAATTTTTTGAGGTAACACCATATTGTTTTCCATAGTGGCTGCACCAGTCTGCATTCCCACCAGCAGTGCACTAGAGTCCCCTTTTCTCCACACCCTCCCCAACACTTGTTGTTTGATGATTTGTTGATGGCGGCCATTCTGACAGGTGTGAGGTGATACCTCATTGTTGTTTTAATTTGCATCTCTCTGATGATTAGTGATGAACATTTCTTCATATGTCTCTTAGCCATTTGTATGTCCTGTTTGGAGAGGTGTCTATTTAGTTCCTCTGCCCATTTTTTAATTGGGTTCTTTGTCTTCCTTTTGTTGAGCTGTATGAGGACTCTATATATATGTTGGAAATTAACTCCTTATGAAGTCTTAGCCACAGCAATCAGACAGGAAGAAAAAAATAAAAAGGATCCAAACTGGAAAGGAGGAAGTGAAACTGTCATTATTCGTAGATAACATGATATTATACGTAGAAAACCCCAAAGACTCCATCAAAATTTTACTAGATTTATTAAATGAATTTGGCAAAGTAGCAGGACAAAATTAATGTCAAGAAATCAACGGCATTCTTATATACCAATGATGAAGTCACAGAAAGAGAAACTAAAAAAACAATCCCATTTACCATCGCAGAAAAAAAATTAAGATACCTAGGAATAAACTTAACCAAAGAAGTAAAGGACCTATTTGCAGAAAACTACAGGTCATTGAAAAAATAAATAGAGGAAGATATAAAAAAGTGGAAGTACATACCTTGTTCATGGATTGGAAGAATTAACATAATTAAAATGTCCATACTACCCAAAGCAATCTATAGATTCAATGCAATCCCCATCAAAATACCAACGACATACTTCACAGAACTAGAACAAATACTTCAAAAGTTTATATGGAACCAAAAAAGACCCTGAATAGCCACAGCAATCTTGAAAAAGAAGAACAAAGTTGGAGGGATCACATGATCAGATTTCAGGTTGAACTACAAGGCCACTGTAATCAAAACAGCCTGGTACTGGCACAAGAACAGGCAGATAGATCAATGGAACAGAATAAAGAACCCAGAAATTGACCCAAGACAATAAGCTCAATTAATATTTGACAAAGGTGGCAAGAGCATACAGTGGAGTAAAGACAGCCTCTTTAATAAATGGTGTTGGGAAAATTGGACAGCTACATGCAAAAAAATGAAACTAGATCATCAACTTACACCATACCCAAGAATAAACTCAAAATGGATAAAAGACTTAAATGTGACTCATGAATCCATAAAAATCCTAGAAGAAAATGTAGGCAACAAAATTTCAGACATCATATGCAGCAGAATTTTCACTGATACATCACCTAAGGCAACAGAAACAAAGGAGAAAATGAACACATGGGACTACATCAAACTCAAAAGCTTCTGCACAGCGAAAGAACCATCAAAATGGAAAGGCTACCCACTGTATGGGAGAACATAATTGCCAATGGAACAACAACACATTTTAAACCAGAAGGAATACGGTTAAGTTTCAAAACACCATCTGCCCTCACAGTTCGGGATGATGGTGGTGGGAGTCGGTTTCTTATTTCAGAAGTTGACACAACTTATCCTGAAGTGATACTAGGACTTTGCACGGGCTGTTCCTGACCCGTAGGATGTGAGGCTTTTCCTCCTGCAGGCTGGGTGCGCATGTCCTCTGCCGACCTCCTTGCTCGTGGGGACACGGGAGCACTGCTTTGTTAGAGGAAAGAAGGAGCCTCACATCCTTCCAAAGAAATCAGAGAGAAAAACAAAAGAAGTGGAAACCAGTAGTAAGACAGCTAGCAGTGGGGGAAGGTTCTGGAACAAAAAGAGAAAAGGAACTTCACCAGTGTAGACCAACTGTAATACAGACCTTTGAAAAGGAATCGTAGGTTTGTTTTCAGTTTCATCAAATTTTTCTCTTTTCTTTGTTATTTGCTTTTTTCTATTTTATTTTTGGTTTATTTTGCTATTCCTTTTTTATCTTCCTGAGATATACATCAGCTCATTAATTTTTAGTCTTCCTCCTTTTCTAATACACGTACTTATGGCTGTGAATTTTCCTCTAAGTTTTGTTGTAGCTACATCCCCAAAGATTTTTTATTTTTATTTTTATTTTTTAAATCCTCACCTGAGGATACTCTTCCATTTTTATTTTCAGTTAGAGTGGGAGGGAGAGAGGGAGAAAGACAAGGAGAGAGGGAGGAAGAGAGAGAGAGAAACATTGATGTGAGAGAGACACATTGATTGGTTGCCTCCCTCATGACCCTGACCAGGGCGGGGGATGAACTGCAACCAAGGTATATGCTCTTGGCCAGAATCAAACCCGGGACTCTTTGATCTGTGGGCTGATGCTCCAACCACTAAGCCAAACTGGTCAGGGCCCCAAAGTTTTGATACATATTAGCTTGGTTGTCACTTAATTAAAAATATTTTGTAATTTTAATCATGATTTGTTTCTTTGATACATAGGTTATTTAGAAGTATATTTCTAAATTTCCAAATATTTGGAGATTTTGTAACTATCTTTGTTGAAGTAATTTGAAGTTTAGGATGATGTTACTATCTTCCAGGGAGGATTTTTATTTCCTACTTCCAGATTCCAGGTGGCATTTTACCCTCATAGCTCAGGACCATCTTAATCCAAATCTAAAGCTATTTTGAGTATCCTCATTTGATCTGATGTAAAGTTATACACTAGAGTGAGAGTCTCTCCCTACTCTGCCTCCCTCCCCTCCCATTTCCCTTCCTCTTTTTTTTTTTTTTTAATCTTTATTG